GGGCTGGGGATTCGAACCCGCCACCTTAGGTGTACGTGGCTGGCGCCTTAGCCGGTTGAGCTATAGGCGCCGAGCCCACAGGGACCTTTTAATAGTGTTTCTCAAGTATTTAAAAAAGAGAGGAAAAAAAGTAGTCCAAGCCTTCTGCTGATTAGTTTACAGACAACACAGAAATTATAATCACTAAAAACTGTGTATGTTTGAAGTCGATGTTTTTCTCTTCATTTGCTGGGCAGAAATACTAGACTGCTTGGTTCAGGACTGGACGCCTATCCAACCTGCTAACTTGGAACTTAAGATCCATGGCAACAAAGGAGTCAGCAGATGCCAAAGCACAGTTGGCCCTCACCTCTTCAGCGAATTGGAGCCAAGAAGTGCCTGAAAAACCGAACTATACTCTCAAATGTACTCTCATGGGACATACAGAAGCAATATCATCAGTTAAGTTTAGTCCTAATGGAGAATGGCTAGCAAGTTCTTCTGCTGATAAACTAATTATACTTTGGGGAGCATATGATGGAAAACATGAGAAAACACTCGTTGGTCATACTCTAGAAATATCAGATGTTGCCTGGTCATCAGATTCCAGTCATCTTGTTTCTGCTTCAGATGATAAAACTTTAAAGATATGGGATGTGAGATCAGGAAAATGTTTGAAAACACTGACGGGACACAGTAATTATGTGTTTTGCTGTAATTTCAACCCACCATCCAACCTTATCATTTCAGGATCTTTTGATGAGAGTGTGAAAATATGGGAAGTGAAAACAGGAAAGTGCCTCAAGACCTTGTCTGCGCATTCTGACCCAGTTTCTGCTGTTCATTTTAATTGTAATGGGTCTTTGATAGTGTCAGGTAGCTATGATGGTCTCTGTAGAATCTGGGATGCTGCATCAGGCCAGTGTTTGAAAACGCTTGCTGATGATGATAACCCTCCTGTCTCTTTTGTAAAATTTTCTCCAAATGGTAAATACATTCTTACTGCAACTTTGGACAACACTCTCAAACTGTGGGATTATAGCAGAGGCAGATGTCTGAAAACATACACTGGTCACAAGAATGAGAAATACTGCATTTTTGCCAATTTTTCTGTTACTGGTGGAAAGTGGATTGTATCTGGTTCTGAGGATAATCTGGTTTACATTTGGAACCTTCAGACCAAAGAGATTGTACAGAAATTACAAGGTCATACAGATGTTGTGATCTCAGCAGCTTGCCATCCTACAGAAAACATCATTGCATCAGCAGCATTAGAAAATGACAAAACAATTAAGCTGTGGATGAGTAAGCACTAATCCCTTTGGAAATCAAGTAGTAGAGCCATGTTGGCAAAAGGCTTTTTTAAAAAATGGTTTTCGGCTGGGCGCAGTGGCTCATACCTATAATCCTAGCACTCTGGGAGGCCTGAGGTGGGTGGATTGCTTAAACTCACTAGTTTGAGACAAGCCTGAACAAGAGTGAGACCCCATTTCTAAAAAATAGTTGAGCTTTGTGACAGGTGTCTAGTCCCAGCTACTGAAGCTGAGGCAAGAGGATTGCTTGAGGCCAAGAGTTTAAGGTTGTGAGCTATGACACTACTGAGGTGACAAACTAAAACTGTCCTCCTTGGCTTGGCGCCTATAGCTCAACCGGCTAAGGTGCCAGCCACATACACCTAAGGTGGCGGGTTCGAATCCCCAGCCTGGACCCGCCAAACAAC